GGGAACAAGGGCTCAAAGCCCAGCAGCCTCCCATCTCCTCCTTGGGCAACCTGTGACACCAGCTTTAACAGCCTGCCTTGTACAAGGACAGCAACAGAGGCTTTGACTCAGTAATGCAGCTTAATGGCTTATTCAGGTGCAGGAAAATGGTTATCTGTAGCAAGGGAGGAACTGCCAAAGTCTCTAGAGCAGGGATCCTCAAACTTTTCCAACAGGGGGCCAGTTGAAAGGTGCCAGTGGGGGGCACGGGCTGGGGGGCGCGTGGCAGGGCAGGGCGGGGGGCAGCCCCTTGCTTGAGTGGAGATCGTTTTCTCCAAGCGAGTCCAAGTCTATCTCCCTGCGAGCAAGCTGCCGCTGGGCACGCACACAGCAAGGCGCCAGCTTGCTCGCGACGAGATCGTTTTCTCCAAGCAAGTCCAAGCTGATCTCCACGCAAGCAAGCCTCGTGCGTGCGCGCTCACAAAACCTCTGGGGCGGCTGATTAAATGGGCATAGCAGGCCAGATCTAGCCCACAGGCTGTAGTTAGAGGACCCATGCTCTAGAGAGGTTAATCCTTCTGAAAAGGTGGACAAAGACCTATGATTCATCTTGTATGAGCAGAAAGTGGCTGTTATTTAACGAAAGTGAAAAAGTGTATGGTGTGGGCAAAGTGGAAACAACTTAGATTAGATCTCAGGATGCCAATTGACTTTGTTCAATATATATATATATATATATATATACACACACACACACACACACACACACACATATACATGTATATATATACACACATATATATATATTTGTTTCTGTTCCTTGAGGCTCCATGTGGTCACATTTCAAGGAGAAAATTTACTAAAACAACATTCTGTAGCAGCAATTTCCTACTAACACGATATATCAAATGTCGACAGGTTCTTGGTCAGTGGCCTTCAAGTGACTACCTGTAAGGTAGCAAAAAGATTCCTAGCATAGTATGGAAAAGAATTACATGCTGATTGCAACTCCATTGCAGTCGACTTCCATTTAGAAGCAGGTTGCTTCAAGTCATAGCTTGAATTCTAATATGTTATGTGTTATGGGAATTTTCTCTCCCCCCTCTTTTATTACAAGCTTTCTTTGCCAGCCCTAAAGGAAGTGGAAGGCGTAAGTAATTTTTCTTCTCCCTAAAAAACTTTCAACTTCCTACATTAATTTAAACATGTGCTAAACATGAATTTTAATTTCCAAGAATCTGTTTGGTCAGTTCTTCAGTCTATTAGACAGTCTATCAGTCTGAATATATACCTCTATATAGGGTTTTTTCTTGCTTAAACTGCTCAAACATTTTTGAGCCAGATTTGCCTGTTATGGTTTTTGCAATGCAATTCTCAATTAATGACAGTTAAAAATAAATCTCAAAATAAAATTAATGCTATCTCATGAAAGTCTGGTTATTTAGGTACAAAATAACATTGAAGAAAATCAGAACTCTGCAGGTGTGGGCGTCTTCATCTAGCTGCCGGATAACCCTAGGCTGGTTTTTTTCTGTGCTGCTTGTAGAAGATGGAGTAGCACTTCTCTCAAGACACATAATTAAGATCCAATGGGTGACGCACATGCCCCTTTCACTATTCTAGCAGGGGAAAAATGTGTGTAGGCAACCTCTCTTTGGTGTTTCTTTCGGAAAGTCACCTATCTCAAGGTGAATCTCACCTATCTCAAGAACAGCATGGACCTTTCAAGGCCCCAGGCCAGAGTTCCTAGAAGGAATGCTGACAGATGGTTGGTTCTTCCTGCTGTAATTCCACCAATAATTCACAACTGCTTTAGGCTGGTGTGTGTTCATTTAAACTGCCCAAATTGGCAGGAAAAGAGCAGCACTTGGCTGTTAACTTAGGACCTCTTGATTCACCATGAATTTCCTACAAATAAACACTCTGGGAAAACACTGCAGGAAAAGTTTACATACCCAAGATGTACACAATCACCTATAAAAAATGTTTGTGTCTGTTCTGTTGTCTCTAGAACTCTGTTGTCAGTCCCATTGAAACTTGCATTTCTCTAACACACAACAGTGATACAGCACAAGAAGATCATAATATGTAAAGTGACCCTTACTTTCTTTAGTTTTTGAGGCATCTGTTTGCTCAGCCCCAAAGCCCAGTTTCTACGCTCAGGTCCCACTCCACCATTCTAAAAACACAATGAAACACCCCTGTTCTGATCTACGAAGCCCTGTGCATTCTCCCGTGTATCCCACGTGCCCCTTCAACCTTAAATCGAGAGAGAAAAGTCATGTGCCCAGCAGAAGTACGCTCCCAGATCCCCTTCCATTGAATGAATGGAGCTTATGGCTTCCCGTCCCGGAACGTTATGCTTTCACCTATTTCCTTGAATGGAGGTGGCTGTCAGGGATGGAGAATGTTTGAAGAGCAAGTGATTTTGGAAAATGAAGAGTTTATAAAAGCTAATACCCAAGCATCCGCCACTTGTTTGTGTGATGATTTTATTTTCAATCTGCCTAAAATCTAAACTTCTCTCGTAGCCTTCTGGTTTACCCAAACTGTACCTATTCTTTAAAACAAGCCAAGTAAAGCAGACTCACTTCTTGAAATAAACTGGTAGGAAGTAGGACTTCCTGGCTAAGAACAAAACAGAGACACTCATTCTAGCTCTGTGCAAATTTATCCATGGAGAAGGAGGAAAGTCCACGGGTTCCTTTAAACAAACACCAATATTGTGAAATAAACTTTCATGGGCGGGAATCCACTTTGTCAGATTCATTAAGTACTTACCCATATGGGTCAGTAGGTATAATACACTTTGAGGACCAAGACAAGAGGGATGAATTTTCATACAAAGTGATGCCCGACAGCCAAGCAATGCAAGAGACCGGCTCTGCTGTGCCATAGTAACAGACCAAGCACTCCCTTATATAAAACACTTTCAAATGAAAGCCTAATCCAGTTTGTATGAGTGTGAGTCCCAACTCCCAGTTGTTACTCATAATGGAATAGGTAAAGCCAAGTCATAACATGCTGTATTTATAGCTGGCCTGCAACAGTATTTCCTCTGTCCTTAAAATCTGCTTTCTCAACCAGAGATGCATATATATCTTCAACATCCAGGCCCACAGGAAAGAGCCTGTTGAAAAATCTCACATGAATGCCAATTATTTCCACACTGCAGTTAACCTTATCCTGAACTCTTCCATTCATTTTCTGGAGACCACAGTAGAGCTTTGTGAGGGAACACACAGACAGCACCTGCTACCAGCAAGCTTCATGGCATCACTCATGTCTGCATGCTAGCAGCTAATAGTCCCCTGGAGTATACCGCATGCTCCATCATATACAGTTGAGCTTGCAAAAGAATTGTGTTTACTCCAAACCTCTGAACAAGGAGAAATTCTTGTAAAAAACGTCTATCAGGCATTCTTAAAATTACAATACATACAGAAGTGAGGAAGGCCAGAGACCCAGCATGAAGGAGTAACAGAATGCCATTCTCACCTTCAGTTCTCAACTTAAACTTCTGCAGTGTTATCATCAAGGCCCTGCAACCATCACAAAAGAAGTCCCGTCCCTCTCACAGGCACTGGGAGCAACATCCGGCCTTGCATGGAGACAGCCTCTTGCCAGCCACATGGGAACAAAACCCTACAACAAGTCCCAGACCCAGCAGTCTCCATTTTTAGTCAAGCAGCACTTATCATATGATCAAGTAGCATCAATTCATGTGATCAAGGCTTCATTCACTTACGTGTCATTCACACAGCTCCAACAGTCTTTTTCATTTTAGCATAAACCAAACAGGGTAGTCTCTTGCTTAAAGAAAAATTGTTAAAATTAGACTTGGAAACCAGTGATGGTGCATTTCTGCCTTCCTGGACATTCTGTAGCAGATCTTAAACTCATCATAATTCAGGGAGGGATTTCAAAGCTGTGGTGGTGGTCATTTCCTAATTGGGCACTGTGAGCTTTGGATTCAGTGGAGTCTGAAAGTCAGGAAGTACCCGACCTTCTACAAGTGTGTATCTGCGCTTTTCTTCTCGCCCAAGTCTCATCATGTGATCCTGTCATGTGAGCATGTGATCTAAGCATCTGCAGTGACCATTAGTCCATTGTGCTGCGATTGAGCCTTGTATTACTTTGATTAGACTTATCAGCTCATGCCCCTTTCATGTGTAATCAATGACATGCCTCCTATCGCTCCTTTCCCTTTGATGCTTTGGCCTTACCTCGGAGACACATCCCCACCTCCTGTCACCCACCCTGCCTTCTTTGTAATCAAAATATAGATACACACACCAAACCTCTTAGGTGATCACACACCCGGCAAAAGTGAGCTCTGCCTACAAAGACACGTGAAGTCCCATAGTAGCATTTGCCACTGCTGCAGTTTGTGGCAACAGAGTCAGCATGACTAACCTCGTGGAACGTTCCTGTTTGGAAGCGTGGTGGAAATTAGCTAAGCAAGGGCCTGTGCAGACGCAAACAGACATTTCAAAAGTAAAAAGAAGGATGTGCCACTCTGAATCAAGCCAGCCTAGTTTTCTGGCTGAGGGGATGATGGAAGTTTATTTATTGATTTATCGTCCATAGCTGCTGCTTCATATGATAAAACCTCTCTGAGATTTACCTAAACACCTCAAAATCATGGTCAAAATCCACTGTTTTTTGCAACTGCTGCAACAATGATAAATGGGGAGAAACCCCCAAATAAATGGTGCTTTCCAGGTGGGCTGTAACCCAACTCACCTGGAAGGCACCGGAGCCAAGCTGGCTCAGTCAGCTGCCGATGGGACTGTGGTGGTGCCGGCCGCACTGGCACAGGCAAGAGCTAGCTGGGGGCCAAATTGTGGGACGTGGGAAGGAGGAGGGTGGAGTTCCTACCTTCCCTAGGAAATGCCTGCTCCTCTGTAGAGGCTGGTCTCACCCTTAGGAAACCTTGGGCGTGTGCTCATACCTGATTTTGGCTACTTCCTAAACAACATTTTTAATGACCTCCTCCTTGTCTCTTTCCCCCCATCTAGTATCATCTGGGACTCACTGCTCACCCAGAACTCTTCCTCCTCAACAACGTGGATGCTGCCTCAGTCATGAGTAGTTGAATCCCTCTGCCCCACAGGAGGAAGAGTGTGACTTTTGGAAGAAAAGGAGCAAAGGAAAGCCCTCCTGTGCTGCACAGAACCAAACTGGGATTGGTTCCGAAATAGGAGCGTGCAGTCAAGAGCTGCAGCTCGAGTCGGACCACAAGGGGAAGGGGAGTGGGGAAAGCGGCGGTACTACTCGGGGTTGTCTGGTACACTGTCTGGAAAGGAGGCGCCTTGAGAGGTTGCACCTAACTCAACTGTGAAGGTTCATTGAGGGCTACTGACAAAGTGTGTGCATCATCACACACTCTGAGGGGGACAGGGGTGTTTGCAATGGGGACAGGTGGGCATTCGTTGGTGTGGGTCACCGCAAAAAGCAGAAGGTTTGCATCTGGGAAGAACATTTCGTGAAAGGAGGGTGCGGTCTTCCTCTTACGCCATGCAAGGTCTTCCTCCTCGCACACAACTCATCACCCAAGCTGTTTTTCTCCTGCTGGGTTCTTTCAGGTCTCGGCCCACCTGGGGGGCAGGGTGGATGGTTTGGAGACGTTTTGTGCTGGGGGTGTGGCAAGCACCCCTTTCTGCCATTGCTTTACAGGTCTTTGGCAGTGAGCCATATTTCAACTCACTTGCCACCATCACCTGTAGTCTAGACTGACAGTCTTGTTTTTAGGTCTTTTGAGGCTTTAAATTAAGAAAAATAGGTTGGTGCTCTTACAGATTTCTGTCAAGGTACTGAGGAATCCACTAAGATTGGGCATCCCCTCCTACCTCCAGATTCCTGCAACACTGAGGGAGATTATTATAGAATTAAGGAATAACCTTCTTGACATGTGGGTACCCTACGATTGGGTAGTGAGTGAGTGCAAATGCAAATCGGAAGGAACTCTGAAATGTAAAACGACAGAGGAAAGAAACACTAGTCGGCATCGTTCAGCAGGAACAACTTCTGCACAGGCTCCAGCAAGAGGCCACCTGGGATATTTTTTGTTTTGAAAGGCTGCACAGAAATATTTAAACAGGAAAAAAGTGAATGGAAGGTGAGCCAGAACGCAAGTTCAGGCCCCTTGTAGAAGTGGGACAGAATACTGACTTGATAGATTTGCCGGGACAGTTTATCAATTAAGTTATGTGTTCTGCCTGAAGAGAAATCCCTTGTGACTCCTGATCTTTCCCTTGTCCAGCTCTTTGCCCCTCCACACTTCCGGCTCTAAAATGTTTCATTCATCTCTCCTTATGCATGGCAATGTTCCTTGCATTCATGTGAAGCAAGATTTTTCTCATTTTAAGGTTTTCTGCCTGTCTCTGCTTTCATTTGGTACTTGTGCATGCATTCTAAATGCAGGATCAATTAGAATTGAAACCAGTCTAAAACCAACATGTTCACATATTTTGTTGGCAGATTTGCCCTTTCCCCCTCCCTCATTCTCTTTCCCTTAAGCCAACTGTCAGTCCTACTTTTCCAGAAACGGCTGCACGAACACAGGACGGTGGAATCTAAGGGAAGATTTAATCATAAATTTGTACAACTCAGGCTTAAGAGCACAATCACATTAATGGCTATCTGGGGGATTTTTCTGTTTGCAATGCATAATAATGGAAGAGCAGCCATGCGGGATCAGACCAAAAGTCCATCTAGTCCAGCGCGTGATACACGCAGTGGCAAAGCAAGTGCCCACAGGTTCCCTCAAGCAGGAGGGTGCAAGACCTCCACCTACCCTGGCTCTTCAGCAACTGGCATGCCACCTCTGGTGAAGGAGGTGACATAAAGCCAGCAAGGCTAATAGCTCCTGGCCGCCGCCGCCTTTATTAATCTGTCCAGTCTTTTTTTAAAGTCATCCAGATTGGCGGCCATCACCACTTCCCAAGGCAGCAAGTTCCATAGTTTAACTACACACTCTGTGAGGAAGTGCTTCCTTTTATCTGTTCTAAACCTCCCACCAGTCAGCTTCTTGGGGTGAACCTGGGTTCAAGTATTCTCCACAGCAGGCATTATTCTAAACACAGCAAGCATAGAATTGCACCTGGAGCCAATTTAATGGCCATGGCTTCCTCCAGAGAAACCTGGTGGTCTGATTTTGAGAATGTGCTTGGGATGTGGAATGGTTAGTTGCTGCTATTAGACATCCATCACCCCTTCAGTGCAGGTGCCCCAGCGGTCTAGGATACTGTGAACCTCCCCACCCAAGGGAAAAAAGCCCCCATGGCGGCTCCAACCAAGCAGGCATTCCAGGGCCATAACAGAGTAGGATAGGCCTTCACCTTCCCTGGATATGCCCCAGAATGGAGGGGAACCATGCTAGTCCTTGGCTAGTCATTTTCCACCCCCACCCCCCGGACCAAGCTGTGTGCCTGTGGTTGCGATTCAGGACAAACTAGTGAAAAGGACAGAGGTGAGTCTTGAAGCCACCACTCCACACCTGCCTCTTGTCCTGGCAGATCCAGGGAGCTGCTCCAAAACTAAAGTTTCTGGGCATGAACAGACTGACGCTGAGGCTTTGCTCATAGTTTCTGTATCCTGAACATTTCTTTCATCTGTGGGATGGCTTTAAAAAGATGCCAGCTGCTACAGTTGAAAAGCTGCTGCTTTGGGTGGTTTTCTCACTCCAGGCCTTTATAGGTCCTCGCCTGCTCACTTCCAACCACAGCTGCCCATGTGCAGCTGCCTGTGTTCCCACTGAGTTGGTGTTTATTCCCTGTTTCTACATTTGTGCGCTGTATAAATACACACAAGAGCCCTTTTCAGGTTTGCACTTAAGAGTTTGCCTAAAATACTACAGACAGCAAAGTCTCAACTCGACTGACTACTTTAGCTCACACCCAACAGACGGCAACTAACACACTGTATCTGATTTATTAGCTAAACCCTCAAATAATTGTTACATTAAAGGTACAATCCTATTGCGATCTAAGACCTCTGAGGTGGAGATTTCACTCACCCTGTGCAGGGGAAGGGGAACTGTGGGGGCAGCTGCCACCTCCCTGTCTTCCTGGTCCTGCATTTTTGCTAGACTCTTATCCCGGTCTCCCTGGCCCCCCTTCACCAGGACACCCCCTTTCCACACTCTGAGCTTCTGTTCTCAACTTTGGAGAGCAGCTGTGGTGGGTGGGGGGAGGTCCAGAGAGCTGGTTCCCACCTCAGATGTTCTCTGGGGGCCATAGGATTGCTCCCTTAGCTTTGTGACTTAACAGCGCATGCACAGCTCCATTTTTAACCATTTCAGACTTTCCAGCTTCTTCCTGCTTTCAGTAGCTTCCCTTTTATTTTTCATAGGCAATATAAACTGCACAAAATAATTCCGGGCTGGGGTGGAAAGGCTATTGAGATTCCACAGAATCCTTGAGACTGAGCAGAGTTGTTCTTACCATAGATGCTGAAGATGGAACCAACTGCTGCATCTTGACTGCTAAAGCATCCCCCACCCCTTAAATCCCAAGATTTCTGCTGTCATGCTCAGAGTCAGACACTCCTTCATCAGTGGAGCTCTTGACCATGGATAGTTCCATAAAGTTCAAAATTAATGCCACAGTGGATAAAGAGCCCCATTGACAGAGGGGTTGCCAACCTTCCCTACACATGTGACAAGGTGTCTGCAGGAAAGACTAGTATTCACCTATTTTGCCGTTGTTTTAGTTTGCAGAGTGCATCCTGGCTCCATATCAGTTGTCTAGACACACCCAGTGATGTGGTACTACCTGGTGCCAAGACAGCTCCTGAAGCAGTACGGACATCCACATGTTAATTTCCCCCTTTACGCTACAGTTTGCACTTTCTGATGGTATCATGGCCCTCATTCTAGAACCAAGCTGGCGATTCACCCTATGGCGAGCAGCCTACAGCTCAATGCGCCATTTAACTTACCATTGAGCCCCACTGGAGTCAGTGGCAATACCTTCTGAGTAGAAATGAGACTGCATGGGTGCTACTGCTGTTCTGCCTTCTCATACATTAGATGGGACAAGGTGGGTGAATCAAGACCCACACAGTGTCAGAACCCTTACACCTGGGCACGAGGAAAGTGTCTTCAGGCTTGCTCACAAGAGGTATGTCTGAACTGAATATGGTGGCAGTGCTCCCAGACTGACCCAACTGCTTAAAAAGAGTTGCTTCTATCCTCACCCCAGAATGTTTACAACTGTGTTACAAAACATCTGTCAGAAACTGCCCTTTGGTGTTGGGGAGCTTTAAAAATATATTTGCAATCTGTGTTCTGTTACGAAACCCATTTTCCCTCCTGATTCTTGTTATTTTCATTTTAGATCAGGCACTAATTCATTTTAAAGGTACCAGTCATTTGATTTGGTGTTTATTTGTTTCAATAGAGGTCCAGACTTTCAAATAAACATGTCAGCTACATTTTTTTCAGTCTTTTTACTTCTAATCTTGCCCTCCAGTTGCTGCGGTTAATACTGGTTCTGTCTTTTTCAACCAGACATGGTTGTTTCTTGTCAAAGGCATGCTTGAAAGAGGTTGATGAGTTCCAGGCAGGTGAGTAACTTAGCAATTCATTCCGCCTGGTCACCCTTTTTCAGAATTGTTAGGGATGGGTTGGGGGACAAGACAGAGGTGCAGCTGAAGAGAAATAACCACTGAAAAAACTACAGGAGTGTGAACCTGAAGCAACCATGTGGAAGCTGTTGCAGGTTTAGAATAACAGGAGTTATTCTAAGGAAGGAGGAAGAAAGAAATGCAACTACAGAATGCTAAAGCAAATAATGCAGAAATCCTCATGGGCCCATATGGATTTTAGCGCACACAGGGCTGTAGAGTTCCCTTTACCATTTGGCAGGGCAAGACAGGGATCAAGCTGTTCCGGGTGAATGCTCATCACCAAGTAATGTGGCCCACCGGATCCGCTCTCAGCCTGACTTGACTTACATGGCATTGTACTGAGGAGGAACTGCCTTGGCCATTCCTGGCTCCCTGATGGGTGGAAGCAGGCGTGGTAGGTTTTGTTCTGTCCTCCTGGTGTACTGCAGAGGATGCCGAGGAAGGATGGACGTGGCAATCCTGCCCATGGCCACACAGAAGTAGTCCTTTGACCTCGAGGGCGATTACTTCCGAGTAAGTGAGCACAGCACTGCAGCCTCACTCAATGGCACTTACATGCTTGGGCTCTACGTATGCTTGGGATCTACTTGAAAGATCACCTCTTCCCTGCCTGGTTCACTTGCTGTTGTTTTTATGAGTGCTTCTAAGCTGCCATGGGTGCCATTCTTGGCAGAAGGTGAGGGTATGAAACAAACACACAAATATTAAATAAAGAGCCCACACAGACCAGGGCGGCATCACAGGTTCATACATTAGCCAGATTAATGCTTGGTGACATGCCTGATGGCTTGTGTTTCAGAAAGCCTGAAATACTGTACCCCAAACTTTCAAAGAGCAATGCTTTGGATCAGGGGTAATTGGTGGAACTCCCAGTACTTTGGCATACAACTCCCATCATCCCCATTTTCTATACTAGCTAGGGCTGATGAGTGGTAGGGAACATCTGGAGGGAAACAGCTGCTCCCCTCCCCCTGCACTTGACCTAGTGCAGAGCTCTGGAGCTGAGGATGTACATTTGGAAACCAAGTACAGATGCAAGTCCAATGCTTACTTGAACTAACTTGAGCTTTAATAAATAGCAGGACTAGCAGAAATCTTGGACAGCATTCTTAGGCCCTCACACACATATAGGTAGGTATTCAAAAGCAATAGAGGCAAGTAGTGCTATGCTCTTCCACTTCGTGGAGGATCATTTTCTTGGCCCACTCCCATCGAGGTTTTTGATGTAATCCGTGTACATAGAATACAGAACACCTACCAAAAGAAAGCAGGTATGGTTGTTACTAACAGTTGCTTCAATATCATCTAGCAATTACACTTCACAGTATAAAATTAATGCTGCACACGAAGCCACATTTTATACCTTAACAGAGATAAACTGAATTGTTGCCCACGGATAACAACAACAGATTAGGACTACCTATTTAAAAAAATCAGTGATGCCTTTGATGCAGTAAACTCACTACACTGGAAAGAAGCCACAAGGGACCGTGCAGGAGAGGGAGGCGTCACTGAACAACAGTATTTTTTAAAAAGATCAGCCACGTCAGTTTATCTTACCTATTGTTATTGCGCCTACAACAAAGCCTTGCGCCGCAACTCTCATGTGGATGAGGTGAATTGACATCTTTTGGCTTCCTCTGTACTTTAGCTTGTAAAGACCATAACCCACTATAGCAAAACAGCCTGCCAGCCCTGCACGTTAAGGAGAAAGGTGCCATTCAGTATGGAAGAGATGAAGACTCTTCCAAAATAGACCAAAGTTTTATGTAGTCCAAATGAAATCTCTCTCTCTCTCTCTCACGCACACACACACATAATGAGGCTGTAACACATGCAAGGTGCTTGTGACTGCCATTTTGCATGTCCAAGCCTTGCTTGGGTGTTGTGTCGTGGAAACCCTGCAAGCATGGGTTCAATGATTCTTGCGAAACCCTAGAATGAAGACCTGTTTAAGCCTTGCATAATCCATCCGCACCTGTATTATGTGGAGTAACTCCATGTATGCAACCATCAGTTCTTGACACAAGGATGAGATGCAAAAGCGGTGAATAAGCCTCACATACCAGGCCTCGCCCTCTCCTTTTTCTTATACCTTCCCTGTCCCATTCCTGTTAAGTACTATGGAGAAAATCAACTTGGTGCAATCCTGCCCTATAATCAGTTGCTTGTGCATAAGTCCCGTTTGAATTCAATGTGACTTACTTTTCAGTGGATGTGCTGCATAGTATTATGCTGCCAATCTATCTCTGCTAAGTTTTTCTCAATGTCAACAATTTCTAGACGTCAAGAGTCACTAGAGCCAATTTTCTGGGCAAGAAAACTCCTGCATTAACACCTACTGAATTATTTCCATGGTCCTGAATGCTAGGCTGTGTGTAGCCAAATCTATATTTTTGTTAAGTAGTTGGAAATAAAGTGATTTAAAAACAGGCTCCCTTTTGAATCAAACTGTTGTTTAATGCACTAATGTGTAAACACTCGCTCTTTCTGTTTCAAAAGGCTGTTTCATTTTCCGCAATGAATGTTGGATTTTGCTTCCCAAAGCCATTCACTGTAACCATAACAACTCTTACTGAATCCAAACATTTCCTTTTGCTCTGAAGGGACATCCAGATGTGCTAGGCTTTATCTCTTGAGCAGTTTGCTCCGTTAATCAGGTAATGCAAAACTCTGTGTTTGTTTCTTCGTGTTTGATACATAATTGAATATAATGCCTTTTTTATCTTTCAGCTGCAAACATGGTCTGAAAGAAGCAGGCAGTGTCCTTGCAGTCGGCTTAACTGGCGTAAGGGTATACGAATTAGCATGTGTTCATGGGCACTGGACGTACAAATCACTTTAAATTCTAGAAAGGCTCCTGCTCTCATACTGTTCTGCTGTGGCTGATAAATGGCAAGGAAGACTAATGAAGGCCGATGGGTGACAGTTTGAGCGTACGTTGTTTAAAAAGGGAACCCTAACAGCTGAAAGAAAGTGTCATTCACTTGTCGGTAGAAAATATACTGACTTTTCTACAAGGATGGTTTAAGGCCAAAGCATAGTGGATAGGGATACATACCAAGTTTTCTGCCTATTCTTTATACTGGGCATGTTTTCTTGCCATTTATATTTTATATTATATTACATTTCTGCCATTTTTCCTTGCAAGAAACTCGAGGTGGCTTACAGAATTCTCCTCCTCTTCTAAATCTTACCCTCACAACAACCACCCTGTGAAGTTGGTTGGCCTGAGAGTCTGTGACTGGCCCACTGTCCCCCAGTAAGTACTACGGCTGAGTGGGGACTCGAACCCAGAATGCCAGCCCCACATGCTTAACCACTATACCACCCTGCCTCTCACCACACTGCAATCCGCTTGTTCTCCAGATGCTGATCCAAGAAGGGCAAGAATCTGATCCCCTCATGGGTGTGGTCAGGCTGCTTCATAAATTTAGCCTCCCCTCTAAGGTTTGCACAGTATTGATCTGGACGGCTAAGGCTGCTAGCCTGATTGAGGTTAGAACAGTTTGTTGTTGAATTAGAACTTCGGGGTTTTCATCCCTTCTTGAGCCAGAGTTCCAGAATGGGGCAATCCTGAGATGTTTATAAAACTGGATGCAAGGCAGAAGCGGCAAGTGTGCAGAATGGTCAGCCCTGTCAGTTCATGGGTTCATACACACACTCTCTCTCTCGTCACAGCAGCAATTCGATGACATTCATAGGAGAAAGACCCACAGACTCCTGCTTTATTGCCTTCCAGGTGAAACTGAGCAACTGCTCCATGCCTGAAATGTCACAGAGCCATCAAGGTCCAAAGAGGGTGACATCAGAAGCTGGATCTGGCTCCCCTGGTGGCCTGTTAGTCATTGTGGCCTCAGGATACACAACGCAACTTGCTACTGAAAAGTAAAGGAACTGAAGACACCTGTGTGTTTGCCTTCTTAAGATGAGGGGCTTCAACAGAAAAGAAAACTCTTTTTGCAAAAACACTGTGTTGTTATTGTGTTGTTGCTATGTCATGAACCCATGTTTCTTGAGTATGTTTGTCTCACAGCTGTAACTCGGCCTGCTTCCAAAGAACGCAAGACAGCATGTGTGAGGGTCACACCATTTTATCCTCACAATAATCCTGGGATGTAGGCTAGGCTGAGTGTGTGCGGCAGGCCCCTGAGATTACCCAGTGAGCTGAAGTGCGGAGCAGGGTTCCAAACCCAGGCCTCCCCAGCAAGTCCCACCATCTCGCCACAAATCCATGCAGACTCTCCAAGGCTTTAGGGCTCAACTCACCTATGGGGACAAAGGGGGCCTCCCGGGATTTTCTAGCTAGCTTAGATGCTTGACTATCATCTTCACTTGGAGACCAGTGCTCATCGGAAGGCATTGCTAGCATCTGAAAGGGAAAAGGGTGGAAAAGAGTGAGAAATAATGTGTCTTGATAAAATGGAAAACTGACTGCAGAAGGGCATTCTGTCACTACCAGCATCGGCAGAGAGGTGCACAGCAAGAGTGCTTCATGCAAGTTCTTTCAGGCAGAGTTTTTCTTGAGCATCTCGTGTGGCAGGATTCATTCACTAGCCAAACTGGAGCTGTTGGTTTTCCACCTCAACTGTGTTTCCGGGGACCTTATATCTCCGTCTCTCCATGTACCTGGAGCCAATTTTGTTACTGAGCTGTTCTCAAAGAATGCTAGCAACTTAGGCTCTGTGTGAGAAGGAAAGGAGATACAGCATTGGGACCAGTATCGAAGACAAGTTTGCCAGTGAGGTGAACATGCTATGATGCAGACATGCTGGAGACCTGGTTTCTATCAAGAACTGTAGGAGGAGCCTGGAAAAGAAATTAGAGACAGTATGGTACCTATCTTAACATCTTCAAAGCTGTCACACAATTGATGAAACAAAGATGACCACTCAGCAATTGACAGCTGCAAGTAAGCAACCTGCTTTTTTCAGGGGCTGCAGCAAGGGAGAACTTGAACCAATGGATCAGATTGCAAGACAGAGGATTTCTCCCAAACTTTAGGAAGAGCTTTCTGACAGTACAGGCTGCTCAGGAGAAAGTGGTGGCCTTCAGGAAGCAACAGGCTCATTCAGGTGGTGTCAGGCAGAGGCAGAATGACCCTTCTCTGGGGTGCTGCAGCTGGAGATGACCTGACTCACCAGGCGGCAGGACTACATGCTCACTCAGGAGCTCCTCTACACAATCTGGCTTTTAATTTAATTAACATGAAAGCACAATTAACAATAGCAGATGGATTAATATTTTCGAAGTGTCACAGTATATCTGCTATTTTGTTATTGATATATGTAATTTATTTCACTTCTGTACTGCCTTATAGCCAAAGGTCCCTGGGTGGTTCATGATATAATATAAAATGTATGCCTCACTTTTCTTCTCCAGAAAAGAAATCATTTGATGCATCACATCATTTTAAAAAATATATATACACGTATACAAACCCCAGTAATCAATCCTCAAAACACATGTATACTTAGATAAAAACAACAGCAAGGACAAAAACAGAAAACAAAATTCAGCAACAACAAAATCAACACTTGTGTAAACACAAATGTCACCATGGTTGTTAGAACACTAAGGGACCAAAACTCCTTGGTGGAGGAAGTTCAACATATGGGATGCTGTCACCAAAAAGCAGCCTTCTGCAAGGGCCTCGCAGTTGGCACACAAGGCTCCCCCACCTTGGTAATCCTCCCACTAACACAGGTTAGGCTGGGATGCTTGTTGCACGATGGTCAGCCAGTTCCCTCAGTGGGGAGCTGAACCTGGTGCTTCTTTGTCCAAGTCTACCTCTTAACTACAGCACCCCTCTATCTCAACCCACCCGCTACGATTTCCATATACATTGTACAGGGATGCATGCAACACTTTGTATAGCAGCAGCAATACCAGCAGCAGCAGCAGCATAAATTTGGTTAAATCAGATGTCTAATTTCAAAGTAAAGGCTTTCTCAAAGACTGCATCTCCAGCAGGAATGAAGACTGTGCGGCCCTCTGGGTGCTGTTGGATTGCAGCTCACAGCATCCCTCACCATTTGCTATACTAATTAAGGCTGATGGGATATGCAATCCAACAACAACTGGAGGGTCCCTTGCTTGCACTATGACAGACTCCTTGTGAAAATCAATTTTACTATTAAACTATGCTTAACATTAGCTTTGTCCTTAAGAATGAATTATACAGTTCCGGTTCTTTGTCATCTGTTTACACCTTTTCTGCAAGATTAAAAGCATGCAAGTCTCCGGATTTTTTCCTCAAGTGAAAGTGTAGACTATAATCTTTTATTTCAAAAATCTAACTTTAGCACACTGAGATCCTTAAGACTGGTTTTTTTTCCAGGATCTGTTCAACTGTCCTTCCCTAAAGTTGCATTCAATCTTTCATCCTCATTCAAGATTTGGAGAAAAGAAATAAAATATATGGAGAAATATAATTTACTTTGTAACTGAATGAAAATACATTTCCATAAACTTCATTCTTATTTTTTAAAATGAATGCATTATAAGCAAACAGGACGCAGTTAAACTGGGTGCTATATGAATACTTATTATATTTTTATTAATGCCCTGGCCAGTCTTTCAACCTGAAATATTTTAACTTTCTAAAATAAAATAAGTTGTTGGATTACCTTTGCTCCTGAAGCATTTACTGTCCATCTACTTTGAAGTCTCAGAGAGAAATTATCTTGTATTGCAGGCTGAGGCTGCGGCCAGTAATGAGAGACAAATATAATTACCCATTTTTGAAGCCAGTATTTGATCTAATAGGCTGTTCCCCACAGCTTCTGTACCTTTTCTTAAAGTCATGATTGTTTCTGGAAGTGCATAGGTTAGAAAACATTTACTATCAGAGTTTTAACAAGCAGAAGTGATCCTTATTCAAGAAGTACACCATAATGTTTCATCGATTTATTTCTGGATATAATTCCACTTTGTGGAGGAAATGGTCATTACTTTCTTAGGTTGATAAGATGCCACATTTAATTGCAAATGCTTATAAAAGAAGCAACGTGCAAGCTGTACACTCTACTCTTTTAACAGAATCTAGATAAGCAGTTCTCTGCTATATTAATACTACCCTAAAATAGCTTCTTCTCACTTTTCTATGTGTACACTGTCAAAACTGGGCTGTGCTCTTACAGATTTTACCATCTCATTGATGAGAGTGACTCTGTGGCTGCAAGTCATTCATGGATTGTACACTGCCCAGAGAGCCCTGAAGGAAGTGGTTCATAGATAGATGATGGTGGTGATGATGATGATGATGATGATGATGATGATGATTCTTTAAAATAGTTTTAGGCTGCCTTTGAGAGTTCAAAACCCTCTCCAGGAGGTTCACAAGATTAAAAGCAATGCAACAACATCCAAATTAAGAAAAAGTCCATGAAAATAACAACAATAAAACAGGCTTTTATCCTACAAATGCTAAAACTGAAAACAATTGTAGTCAGACTCTCAGCAGTCCCACAAAAACACAATTCAAACTTAGAAAATTAACAGTCCTTGGCTTTCCCAAATACCTGATGGACTTTAGTGGATAATGCATTTTAGAGATGCAAAACCATTCCAGAGAAGGTCCTCTCCTTTGTATCCCAAGCCTCTGAGCCTCCATTGCTGACCTATAGTGAAGACTGGCTTCACTGCGGAAGGGTGAAGGCAGTCCTTCATGTCACTCAACCCCAAACCATTTATGCAGGAAAGTAAAACACCTGGCCATCCAGATGTTGCTGTGACTCCAACCCACATCAGCCCTAGTTAATGTAGTCAATAGTGAGTAATGATGGAAACTGAACTCCAAGAACACCTGAAGGGCCACATGTTCTCTGCCCCTACTTTAAATCTTAAAGATAGTGCTTTAGCCTGAGCCTGGAAGTGCACTTGCATCCAGTGCAATGGGCAGACAATAGGTGTCAGGTGTAACACTCGCCCATATGTGGCAACTGCACCAGCTAGAGTTTCCAGACTACCTTTAAAGGGAGCCCCCACAAGCATACAATACAGCAGCCCAGCCTGGACATCACTGGAGCGTGGCTAATGGAGGCAAGTTCAGAAATTTTCAGCTAGAGCCTCAACTGGTATAACAGTTTACACTGATAAAAAGCACTCCTGGTTGCCACCAAGTGCCCCAGATAGCAATGAGTCCTCTGAGCAGAGTGAAACGCCATCTAAGACCATTTGTAAATGTCCATCCAGGGCAGTCAGCTTCCTTATCCACAGCATCTCTGCCTTGCCTGAATTGTCTTGACTTGCTTCCCATCCTCCTCCCCAAAACTGCCTCCAAACTCTGCTCTGAGAGTTCCACAGCCTACCTGGGATCAGTAAGGGGAAACCAGATGTAGAACCAAGTATCATCCGTATATGCATTGATGACACTTCAGCCCAAACTTCCAGATGACCTCTTTCAGCAGTTTCAAGTAGCTGTTGGGGACCGTGGGGGACAAGGTGGAATCTTGTGGCACGCCACCGGCCAATGGGCTGGAACCAAAATCTTCTAGTGCCATTTACTGAGAGAGCTGTTCTAGGAAGGGCCTGAACTACCACAGCACCATGCTTCCTAAGCCTAACCAGATCCATCACTGCCTTCTGCATTGAAAAGTCAGTGTTATTACAGGATATCAAATTACTTTTCCTGAGAGGAGAGCTTGTGATTAACATGGAACAGACAGTATGAAATGTATTAATACTTTGGTACATAAACACAAAATTGTTAATCACAACACACCCACTTGCCTAGGATTACTTTTATCCTAGGGATAAAGCCTTGATCTTGTTCCAGTGTGAAGGGATATTCCAAGTAAGCCAGTCATACCACAAAAAGAAATTTGAGCAGAATACTTGCTCTGGAGAACATCATCAGAAAAATTCACAGCATTTTTTTTTACATATGCACATGTTCACTGCTATAGTTCCAGTTCACTAAATACAGACAGGTGTGACAATGGCTGTACAATTGTACAATGTAACCCACTACCACAGAACACACAATCAGCATAACAGAGAGTACACAAACTGAAGTTTGCTCATCATGAACACAATTGTCTTCCTTTTGCAGATATCTGCAATGCAGAGGAATCTTTATAGGCCAGCTTCCCCCAGTCTGATGCCTACCCAATGTGCTGAATTACAGTTCCCATCATACCCAGCCAGCATGAACTGAAGTTGGCTGGGGTGATGAGACTTGCAGCCCAGCACATCAGGAAGGTGCCTGGTTAAGAAAGTCTGGACTAGTCTGTAGTTCATCTACAGCCAGAGGTGAATACTGAGTACTAATCAATATTAATCAATACTCTCTGCAGACACTTCTGTGTCTTGAATTATTTGGTGGAAATTTTTAAAAGATTTTAAAAGCATCATTTGCCC